ACTATAGACCAGGTATAGAGCTCAGGCTTCCAAGGTGAAAACACAGGAGAAGCCCAGTCTACATGTGAGCCCACCTTGACATATTGATAACCAAGAACAGAGTCTATTTAAATCTATTCATGGTCACCTGTGTATCTGACTGCATCTTGTAAGAACTAATATTCATCCTGCAGAAGACAACCCTAAGTGTCCCCCGGCGTCAGTTCAAAAATTGACACCACTAGCATCTCCTGATAACTTGTAAGAAAGAAAAATATGGGGCTGTGGTCCAAAGACAGTAACACATGGTATGCCCAGCAATCTGTGATTTTACAAATCCTCCAGGTAATTCTGACACATCCTAACTTGACAGCCTCTACAATAACTAAGTCAGACTTCATCCATGAGTTATCATCAGGGAAGTGACTCTGGGAAACACTCTTTGGTTGTAGTGATGTTACTGTTGTAACCCAAAAATACATAGATACACAGAAATATATATATATATGTGTAAATAAAAATAATCTGACTCTAAATGTAGACTTTCTTGGATTCATCCTCTTTCATATCTCTATTCCTTCACTGTCCTCTTTGTTCTCCCTGGGATCACCTCCCAAATATACCATTGTCCTCAGATTCTTGCATCAAAATAATCCAACATAAAACAAATTGGAATTTATTTAAATATTCCATTAAGATCTGAAACACATGTGACAAAACATTATTAAATTTTATATTTGATGATGGGGTTCAATATAGAATTCTCATTATCTCCATGACAATTTTTACTATAAAATCATAAATAACATAACTACAGGTTTAATCAGCTCTTCAGGCCCACCTCTAAAGAATATGCACTCCTTCTATGCACACGATGAAGTTCTTGTGCATTTGAATTAAGCATAGTCTAAATTGGAGGGGCTTTTTATAACACTCTGTTCCAGTGCAAAAAATGATGGCTTTTGTGTCAGATATTGTGAAACAGTTCAGTTAACAGTAGCCATTCCGCGTGATCTTCCCATGTGTTCACCTTTGCTACAGAAATACATTTTTGCTTAGAATGGCCATATGATAGCGTTTTGGGCAATTATATGTAAAGAGAAGTGCCTGGGGCAGATAGATTTTCCTAAATAAAAGCTTAGTGGCTTCAAAACTAAATTCCTATGTCCTATCAGACTTACACTTCCTCCTACTTGGTGCATGGAAGGTGGTTTGATGCCTGGTGGTGAGGCAGGCACTTTGGGCCATGAGACAGTGAGTATACAAACAACGCCTGGATGTAGACAAGAACAGAGAGAAAACATGGGGAAAAAAGCATATCCCATAGCGTGTCTAAACCACTTTATCAGACCTGAGCTTCTACTTATTGTGTTCATAAGGCAAAATATACAACTCCTGTGGGTCATCTTCCCTGTGAGGTCACTACTCAGCAGTATATGTAACCTATGTTGGGATTATACTCCTGGGATACTAGGGTCGTGTGGAACACAGCACATTTCATATTTATCCTGCCTGTTACAGCATCCAGAAAACTATTTCATTGCCAACATCTACACTGCCATGTGACATTTTAAAGCTATGACAACAAAGTTTGCTTCATCCAACACCCCCTCTCCATCCACTGCCACTGATCTAAGAATGGGAAGAACAATAATCTTTTCTCCCAACAGCATCTGGTTCTCAGTACTTCCCAGGGCTTCATTTAAATCATAAGGACAGAATCTGACTTCCCTGACCCTCAAAAACCCGCCACGTTTGCCAAGTCCTCATCTCCGTCACACTTATTCATCAGATGATGCCACCAGTAGCTGCCTAGGACCTTGGAGTGATTAAAGGAAGCTCCCTCTCCACATTTCAAAAGAATTCTCCCTATTTGCTTTCAATAGATCTTAATTCTTCTCTAAGAAGGATACCACCATCATCTTTTATCTGTCTTCACATCTGCCTCAGTGCTAACTGCCTAAATAAATCCACTGGCCCATGCATACTACTTCCCTCTTATCTCAATTAAGTGATCAGAATGTTGCATTTGAACCCTATAATTGGCCTCAAATGCTTCAGACAAAATTCAGTTCTCATTGTATTAGGAAATCATAACCTACAAATCTTGCCTGGATAACATGAGGTGGGCTGAGCAGTGAGAACCCTGTAGCCATAGCAAAGGCAAAGAAGGGCAATGGCTGTGACATATGTAGCTGCAATGACAATGAGGAGAAACAGAGGAACTGAAGATAATTAGGATTGAAACAAACAGATGTTTCTCCTAAATTCAGAGTGTCAGTTGTGCAGCCAGAAAACAAGTGTCCTCCCCTCAGGCAGAATTCATTCAATTATTCATCCTATACATTTGCTGTCTCTTACCAGACGCTACAATTTCACTCCTGTAAGAATATTTTTCTTATAATTAGAGAGTATGTATTATACTCCCATCAATGTCCTATGAGTTCACTTCACATAAATGTCAAAACATCTCCACGGCTTATAAAGCCTCCAAGTTTCCACCTGATCAAATTGTCACAGTAAAGTGAGGAACTTTGTCGATGTCATTTATAAGAAGTGAAAGAAAACATAACTAAAGAAACTTTGACATAAGTGATGTTCTCCAATCTAGAAGGAATAAAATGTATTAATTAAACAAAATCAATGTAATATGCTCACTTTAGAATCACCCTCATCTTCAAGTAAATTTCTGAGCACCATTAAATTTAATAGAAATCATACTTACAATCCCTGAGCAGGCCATATAAGAAATATTTCATGATCTTTGGAACAAATAAATCATATCATAAATCCTAGATGATTAACAGGCAATACAAAAGCCAGGATTTGCATAGGGAGATTCTCAGCCAGGAGTCATGAGACTTGGGAGAAATGAACTCATTGTAAAGTAAACAAAATAGATTTGCATGCAAATCTCTAAAGTTTCTAGTTTGTTAGTAAATCATCAACAATTTTGAAATTATTTGTTTTGATCCAGTATTTTCTTTTCATTCTGAAGATGTGTATTCGCACACACTGACACTTTTTCCTGCTTAAGCTAAAGTATATATTTAGCTTAATATATTTATATATTGAATTCAATGTATATCAAAACCAAGAAAATCTGCTTGTGTTCTGTAGGCCAAAAAATGGTCATGTGCAAAGAAAAATATAGGGTCCAATTTTACAAATAGTGATTCAGAATTCCAAAAGTATGGATGCTAGTTATACTTGTTGTGAATTTGTTAAACTATAATTTGTTAAGTTGAGTCCCCACGGGATGGATGTTGACTTGAAATACAACAAGAGACTACAAGGAAAGTTGAAGTAGAAATTCTATTACTCACAGGTCCTGGAAGAAGTACATGGCAGGCATTCAGGGCCCACATGGGGAGGCCAAGGCAGGATGCAGACAGGGGGAGTGGCAGTACCTGGGGTCCACGAATTTATTAAGGTCCATGGGTGGAGAGATTTGGGGTTCCTGGGCTAAGTCTGAATCAGCCAATTCAAACCAAAATGATGGGATTTTGGTGAGCTCTGTTGGGGTCTCATCTAAGGGGTCAACAAGAAGGCGTTGGTAGGTGGTGAGACTGTTGATAACAAGGGCTGCTGGAGAAGTCATACCAGGAACTCACATTTTCTTGTGACTTTGGAGACTGTTCTATAGGGCATGTGCTCAAGGGAGGGGCTAGGGTCAGGTAGAGGCCCCTGCAGGCTGCTTGGCTACACAAATGGATGCCAAGGTAGCAATATCATTGAATAGTTTAGGTAAACTCTCGACAATGTCCTATATAATCTTTGTTATAACTGTTTTAATGTCCCTGTAGTTACAAAAAGGAGGAAAAGATACAATATTTAAATTATGGGAAATATAATTTCAAATTATTTGAGGTTTAAGGCTACTAGAAAACGAGGTTACTAGTGATGTCATTTCACTGCATTAGAGAAAAGTTTATTGTTACCATCCTCACCTACAACCTTAAATAAGGTATGAGAGGTTATTGTTGATGGCGGGATAATATTTCATTTATTACATGTCACTTTTAACATGTTAAAAACATTCAATTTTATTAGTTAAAATATATTAAGTTGACACATAATCTAAATAAAGCATTTCAAAAATCCACTGTATGATCCTTAGTCGAAATACACATGACAAGAATACAAGAAGCCTTCTTGTTCCTCTGATATAGTGATCTGAGAATTGTGCTATCTGTGGTTTCTGAGACTGAAGCTAATTATTTAGAAAACATGGATGTACTTTAATTTTATGCCATTTTAGGGAAGGGCTATACTTAGCTCAGATATCTGTGAAGATTACTTTATTTCAACAATGTCAACTAAGTTTCATGAATTTGATCTATTACTTTTAGGAAGGTAGATCAGGATTTTACTGAACTTCCTGTTTTTTATTCTTAAATAGCAATTGGTAAAATGATTTAAAATTCAGAATGCTCCTCTGTCTTACTTTAATACAAAGAATGACACTGTGAATAGTTACCTAATGTTGACTTATATCAATGTTATCAGTCAACCACAAACAGCTTCTCCATGTAGTTTTTTTTCATAGTTTGTACAATACAGTGTCCTTAATCTTCCGTGGAAAAGTAGATATGATGAATCTCACCTAACATAGAAGAGTCTCTCATATCATTGAGGCAGCAACAATCAACCACATGATTTCACAAACTAGGAATAAAGGCACAGCATGAAATGATTTGAGAGTTGAACTACATTAAAAATAATTGCTTTTCAAAAATCTCAAATACTGGCAATATAAAAAAAGGATACACTAAAAATAAGTATATCAGTCCAAACATTAATGCCCTTGATCCTTAGAAGCATACTAACAAATAATCAAAGAATTTTAACTTTGGATTATTTTCTATAATAAACATTATGCTTTAGAGTCATATCTGAAAAGTGTTATTGATGGACTGACTGCTTTTTAGTATGAATTCTCATATTTATTTAGATTTGATCTTTGATTAAATACTCTCTCACATTTTTAGATCTGTAAAGTTTTTTCCCCCAGTATGAACTCTCTGGTGTTTTCTAAAGTGTGTATTTTGGACAAACTTCTTTCCACATTCATTATATTTGTAGGGTTTCTCTCCAGTAAGCACTCTCTGATGTAGAGTAAAGCTGTGGCTCCAGTTAAAGGCTTTGCCACATTCTTTACATTTATAAGGTTTCTCTCCAGTGTGAGTTCTCTGATGTTGAGTAAGGCTGTAGCCCCAGTTAAAGG